CTACTGAATAGTCATCTGTACAGCAGAAATAAGATCCGCGCGCTAGGTCAATTTGCATTGCCAGTCCTGTTTATAGTTTTGTGCGTAATCGATTGGCAATTGGAAGAAATAAAAGCAATCGACCGAAAAACGCGTAAACTGCTAACATTATATGGCATGCTACAATCCTCGCGTCGACACCGACAGGCTTTACGTTTCAAGGAAAGATGGAGGCAGGGGACTACAAGCAAGTGGAGGCAGCCTACAAGTCAGCAAATACTCAGTATAAGCGACTACTGTGAAAACAGCCCAGACAGAATGATGATGATTGCCCGAAATTAGGATCTGTCTCTGCCAGTAACTAAGTCCCTTATACAAACGCAACAAAATTCCGTCGCCAGTTATCTATACGGGAATCCTTAGGGCCAGACTTGCAGAAAAGAAAGGTGACCTACAAAATATGTATCCAGTCGGCACTGAGGGAGAAATGGCAAGGGAAGGCCCTGCATGGACAATATGTTACCCGAGTACTTCAACACCATAACCTCAGCAAAGAAGACACAGTGAGATGGCTCACAAGAGCAAACGTAAAGGGTGAAACAGAAGTCTCATAACAGCGGCACAAGATCAAGCCTTAAATATCAACTACCACTCAAACCGGATACTGGGAAGAAACAACGATCCCAAATGTAGGATATGCAGAGAGAACGATGAAACCATATCTCACATAATGTCTTCATGCCCTATCCTCGCTCAGCGCGAATACGTTACACGACACGACAGAGTTGCCAAGATCTTGCACCACTCAATCTGCAAAGATTTCGATATTGGCGTTAAACAGCATTGGTATGATCATGAACCACAGCAGGTTGTAACTGCAACTATGTCACCATTCTTTGGAATCAGCCTATAATAACAGACCGAACAATTGCTGCCAAAAAACCGACATCGTTATCAAAGACCATAGAAGTAAGTTATGCACTATAATTCATGTTGCAGTACCATCAGATTACAACGTGAAAGACAAAGAAGCTGAACAGTTTCTAAGTACCAGGATTTGTCTATTGAGATAAACAGAATGTGGCAAATGCGTACGCACATAGTACCAGTTATAATAGGTTCCACAGGTGCCGTGTCTAAGAATTTGACGCATATTTTATGTAAAGGCAATCTCAGGTACCTTAACCCTTACCAACTTCAAACTGTAGCCATATTCGGTACAGCCCACATTATTAGAAGGTCATAACGTAATGTCTAACCTAAGGGGTAAGGCATACCCCCGGTTTTTGACGAAGAAAGTAATCCAGCCACCAACAATCAAGAGCTGAGAAAGTTAAAGAAATAATAATAATAATAATAACAAACGGCTTTATTGGCGGAGCTTAGGAAAGCTATTCATACTCAACCTTTCTTAAAACTTAAGCTTAGTACTGATTTGACATACAAACATGATATTTTACATACACAGTAAACGATTGTATGTCTGTGAATCTAACTAAAAAAAAAAGAATAATGGTAATTGATCACAGGGCATTTATTCATTGATCCTATGCTGAATTCCTAGAAGATGTAGTCTGAGATGCAGTTTGAAACGGATGCTATTACTATTTGATATGTCAATATTACTGCTATTGATGTTAAAAAGAGTGATGTTACATACATAGGCATTGTAAAATGGATTTGATATCTTATATTGACATTATGAATACTTGACCTAGGGAACAGCTTTTCGACTAAATATACCGGATTCTTAGAATATAATACACGATTCAATGTTGTTAGGTAAAAATATTTGAACAGAGGATTTATGTTAAGCCATTGTAAAAGCCTGAAACTATTAGATATGTGGTCAAATTTACGCAAGAAACAAAGACTTATGGTCTTATTGGTCCTATAATTCTTCGGATAGTTTTGCGTTCGAGCACTTGGAGTCTTTCCTGTAAGGCACATGGTTTCCGCTCCATACATGATCACCGTTCTGATTGCAACATTGTACATCTTTATTTTGGTTTGTTCGCTTATGTTCCTATACTGTGGTAATCTGTGGTACTTCCAGTATGAACTGTTACCCATAAGTGTCCGTTCTGTGATTCCCGCTGCCTTTTCATTTTTGTCGGTCACTAGCATCCCTAAGTATTTGAATTGAGATATGTATTCTCCTATTTTAATTTCATTGATACTACTCTTGTCTTGTCTGGTTACCATTAGATATTTCGTCTTCTCGTCATTTATTTGTAATCCTCCTCGTTTTCCTTCATCAGACAATTCCAAGAGAGCTTCCTCTAGACATGCCATAAAGTGTTGCCAATATCAAGCTTCACGGTGTTTTCAGAATAGGAAAGGCTAAACCTTTTCAGAAGAATATCTTACGATTTTACCTCAAATATTCAAACCTACATGTTTTCAAAACTAGTGATCTGACAAACATTCCTTAAGAGACAAAATGTTTGGAAAATTCAATTGTATTTTATAAAATTTTCCCGAAAAGGCCAGTGGCATAGAAAATATTATTATTAATAGGGGTCCAGGTATCCCATTTTCTATGTCCCTGATTTAGTTTGGGCCGGGAAGCTGTGTGTTCATTGCTTATGATGTGCTCAATGAACTTATAAAACCTGAACTCGGTATCTTTACTCGGTCCGTAGATACATTTTTTCAATTTCTTAAATAAAACTTCACGACCCTGTATCTCAGTAGGGGAGCATCTTTGGACTCATATTTATAGCAACTTGTACTTTCTACTCTTGAAATATTGGCATTTCTGAAACAACTGGTACTTATAATATCGCGCAGCGCACAGCAGGATTTGTGACAGAAGTTATATGTGTACTATAGAAGTTATACTACTGTACTATATGCAAGTGAAACTAACAGCATTTTCGACTATATTAAACTTCCTAATTGTCGGGCATTACTTTGCGATGAGCAAATATTTCAAAATAACAAATAAAGTAAGCTAAAATCGTGGTAATTCTGTTATAGTCAACAAAATGAGGGGGTACAAAATTATCAAGCATCCTACGTACGACATACCGTAAAAAACTATGCCAGCCATCGTGCGCGTCTGTTTCGTCTATCTTGTTACCATAAAATCAAGCTCACACTGCCACTAACACATAGATAAAACGAGTCAGCGGTGGCAGTAGCGCTGAAATTGGAGAACGGACAAAGGGCTGAAAATTTCGGTAGCGTCTTTTTATGTCGTTCTGCAATGCATAACATATCCTGTATGGTTCTGTTTTCTTTAAAATGCCCCGCACACTGTTCTCAGTTTTATAGTCCAACATAAATAATTTCCTTTCGTAACTACAGCACATTACCAGCAAAAGGTTAATGAAGGTAACTAACGTCCAATGCACTAAACGAATGAAGGGCTTCAATTCTTTCTCATTAAGCAAAGAGATACAGAATTGAACAGAAAGGGTTTTTTATAGCTTTGACCCATGATTACAGGGACTAAATAATAGACCATCTAATAGGCACATTGTTAAGTCTATCAAAATGTCCAAATACGATAAGAGAAGCTTTCACAATGTTTCCCTTTAAACTAACAAATATCTTTTAGTAAGGATAAAAACCGACTGAAGTAGTTGTTTGTATGTACTTTCTGCGTTATAGTACAATGGGAATTATTTTTTGTGAAACTTCATCTTTTCGTCAGAAAGTAGCTTCTGCTCAATGGAGATGATCACACGCACTTACATATAATCATGATATGATTTTTAACAAACACAACACTTTCGTGGAAAAAAACGTTATATGTAGATCTTCAAAAAAGTATCTCGACTTATCTATATCTATAAATACATAAATATGTATGTACCATGAAGTTAAAATTTGAGAGATACAAAAGCAAAGATAACATTAATTTAAATTTGTTTTTCTACCAGCGTCCGGAAAGTACTCATTTTCAACACGCACCAGCATGCAGAGAGTAGCACTTTTCCGCACTCATAACTTTTATGCACAACAACTTATGCCAAATCTTATACTAACACTTGCGGAAAGTGTACTTTTCGCGTTGTTCGTGCAACTAAATAACTATTTACCTAAGAAGTGCAAAATACACTTTGCGCAAGTGTTAGGTATAAGCTTTTTTCTAACAGCGTGCGGAAAGTACTCACTTTCAACATGCATCTGCGTGCAGTAAGTAGAACTTGTGCGGAAAAGTGCTACTTTTTAATGTCAAGTGAGACAGAATAAGACTGATATGACAAGATTCTGTTAATCAGAGAATGTCCACGTCCAGGGTGATTCAGAATACAGTGGCAAACTTTATAGCATGAGGCAGATAATAAAAACTTGTAAAATAACACGAGCCATTCATATAAACATGGTCCAGAAATGCCCCTTTACCAAGAAATAATGTGTTGAAACTATAATTTCGAAATAGAAAAAAATGTCTATTCCATAGACATTCCTTGTTCTATCGGTAGTGCAAGTGGCAACATTGCCTCTCCCCGTAACTTAACCCGGTCAGACGTTTCAGCCCGGTCATAGCATGAGTATGTCCGTGCTATGTAATACCATACCCCCATTCCAGAATAATATAAGACTACACACAAGGCTGGCGGCACGCCGCCAGGAGCAGCAGCTGCGGCCGGTAGGTACGCAATCCGTCTGTTGAGGATACTTTTCTAATTTTTAAGGGCTAATGTACGGAGGAGTGTATGATAATAATGACAATAATAATAAAAAATTGCCTTCATACGATTATTTTACAATGTATATGCAACAAACAATAATAAGCGAAAAAGTTCTAGTAACTAGTTAATATACGTATACATAGAATGAACTCATTCAATCTGTTTAAATTTACAATTCGACTAATGAATATAAATATTATCAGCAACGTATTATTACGAGGGATGTCTTTAAGTTTTGAATATACAAACATAGTAGGCCGCGCGGATCGAACGTCAGTACTGAATCTTAACCTCACTCTTTAGTAAACTTAAATTCAAAGTTTCACAACGATACGTGCAGTGTTCACACTACAGTGTCACCAAGTCATTAGAAAAATGGAACTCAGCGGAGAACATTTGCGCGCCATAATTTATTACAACCTTCAGAGACAATTATCACAACAAGAATGCGTTGCTGAGTTACTGTCTGTTTTCGGCAACGAAGCGCCACTTCAGTCGACAATTTCTCGTTGGTATGGAGAATTTAAACGTGGACGGCTGAGTCTTAGCGACTATCCCGGAAACTCAAAAAAAAGTGTACAGCATTGTTAGTGGTGGTGAATCGTGGATTTACTGTTATGAACCAGAAAATAAACGACAGTCGGCTGTTTGGGTGTTCCAAGGTGAAAAAAAGCTAACAAAAGTCATCCGTTCTCGAAGTGTTTCGAAAAAGGTGGTCGCGACATTTGTGTCAAAAGCGGGTCATATTGCAACAATTCCTCTTAATGAGCAAAGAACTGTTACTGCGGATTGGTATATCAGCATTTGTTTGCCGAAAGTCATCACTGAACTTCGAAAAATCAAAACCGAAAGAAGAATCATCCTCCACCAAGATAATGCAAGCTCGCACACAGCCCCAAAAACAAGGCAGTATTTAATGGAAGAAAACGTGGAATTATTGGACCATCCTCCATATAGTCCCGATCTAACTCCGATTTCTTTACTTTCCCGAAAATTAAAAACAGACTGCGTGGTCAAAGGTTCCAGTCACCAGAAGAAACAGTTGACGCATTCAAAAATGCCGTTTTGGATCTACCAGCAAACGAGTGGAATAAGTGCTTCGAAAATTCGTTCGAGCCCATGCAGATGTGTATTAATCTTCGTAGAGAATACTTCGAAAGACAATAAAGTCATTTAAAACTACCTACCGTGTTGTTTTATTTCCATATGCAAAACTTAAAACACATCTCTCGTATAGACTTATATCTATAGTAAAATAGAGATATTTTATGTTTTCGATTTATACCGAAAATATTTAGGAAGATTGTGCGAACAGAGTGGTGAGGAAGTGATTATGTACCGCTAAGTAGCCACGTTTTCAACTTCTTTTACTCAGAGTATAATAAATTACGAAATTCAAATGGAAGGCTATTGTACAGTTTGTCAGCAGTATAAGAGAAGCACTTATTGCAGAGAGGCGTGAAGTGTTTAGGTATAACGAATATGTGGCGATTTTTGGTAGCCAAGCTAATGATGTTTTGAAATTTGTTGAGTTTATTACTATAAAGTGGTAATGTATTATTATATATCCATATATTGTATTGTTTTAACTTCACTTCACGTCGACCATTTTTAAGTCCATTAAAGAAAATCATTTTGCAATGATAAAATGTCTTAAGGGTATAAGATGGTTGGCTTGAATTATTGTTTTACAATACAGGTCAGTATAGGAAAAAATACTTAATGGAAAATTTTACATTTTCTCCTAAAATTTAATAATAACTAATATACTTGAGGTAGAAAAATATTCTCGCACAGAAAAATATCAACCATCAGATTGCAAAGTGAATTTCTGTCTGCCTGGTATTGTGAGTAGATAAGGATCCTATGCATGGGGATCTCAATACCTGTGGGAGATACAGCTTAGGTTAAATTAGGAAAAAATTGCTTTAATCGGGGGTATTTACATGCCGTTGAGAAACTTGTAAACATTTCATGGCTTACTGAGATATTTGGGAATAACTGAAATTTGTACAAATCATTTTTGCTTTTTTTCTTAATTTATTTTAAGAAATATCAAAAAAACTAACGAAGCTTTTCCATTGCCACTTTTTAGGCACCATATGATGTTTTTTTTTTTTAATTTTGGGGCCGTTTTTGAGAAACCATCATCAACTTTATTTTGTATATGCTCCGAAAAAGTACACCTTGTATCTAAAATCATTTTTATACGAATTCAACGATGTACCATGTGTTTCTTGGTTATCAAGAGAAATGCGTTTTTTCTGATTTTTTAATTTTTTTTTTCAAGTAGGCGTAGGAAATAAACGCTTGACTTGACGTAAATACCTGTCACCGAGTACTAAGAACACTGCAGAAATGTATCTAGATAAATTTCGCGGAAGATGGCAGCCGAGCCTTTTTCCTAGAGTTGGCACGAAATTTAAATGAGTATGGTCCATTCAAAAGGCCTGTTTCGTCTTGGGGAAAAAGGAATCTTTTATCAGCATACTTTTGAAACTGAGTAGCACTTACGAGAATGTGTAAAGGAAGCATTTAGTATGATTACACCAGAAATGTTATACAATGTTTTGAATTCTACTGTTGGAAGATCATATTTATGTTTAGAAAATAATTACATGATCGAACGAAGTTACTTGTAAGCGACGTTCGATCTAAATTATGTGAGTGCCTCGTAGAAGTAAATAGAATAGTTGTAGTCCCCCGTTCCACGCCCAAACCCATGAGTTTACAGCGCGCACGTAGCGAAGAAAAGCGGCAGCCTCGCCCTCCCACCTTTCCTCCCCGGCCCCTGGCCAACAAACTCTCATTTTATCCAAAGCACAGTTGTTGCAACAATTGAGTCATACGTATGGACGAGGCCTTCACATAATTGAGATCGAACATCACTTACAGGTAAGTTAGGGCTTTTAACAACAGGTAATACGACGTACATTGGTTCAAAAATAGAAATACCAACTGTCGTATGGTAACAAGCAAAGAACGTAATAGCATAGTTATGTTTGAGGTGTGGACATTTGGTTTACCTCAAATGCCGCTTGAGCAAAGTTATTATTCGGCATAAGAAAATTGTGAGATGTCTCAGAAAACGCACTCCAGTCGGCGTCTGGGCGTACTATAACCTAACCGGCGCAGAGCTAGACGCATTTCATGTACTGTGGGCTGTAAATTGTGACACACCTAGACCACTCTCTGCTGAAACAGAGGCACCATGATAAAGTTACTTTTCAGTGAAAAATATTTGTAAATACTTTGGCTGCACAGATATTTGGGCGTGAAAGACGGTAAAACTAAAAGCGGTTGCAACATGACTGGCACCGAGGCTTTCAAAAACTGAGAAATCTCAATTTCAACATTATTCAACCCGATCTGGATGTTGTCTGTTTCATTTAGTGGCAGAGCTTGCATACTCTGACCTAAAGTTAGGGCTAGCAGTGTTGCTGATTTCTTCATCCGAATATCTACAGAAGTCACCAGCAACCCCTCTAGATGGTTAAGAACAACCACAGTATCTCAAGTGGGGTTATATTTCGGTTGAGATGGTCTCAACCTGTAATCGCCCTTCAAAAACCATCTTATACCTGCATCGTTAGTAACATTTTGGGTAATGGAAGAAAGAAGCTGTTTTATATAATTGATTGAAAAAAGGGTATTAACTGTTGCCCGGATATTATCAAGGCAATCAGAAATGGTTTTATTAGATTTGTGAACATATGAGGGACACAATTTATCCCAAACGGCACAGCATTGTATTGAAAGAGCTGGTCTTGAATATGAATCTGAAATATATTGTATGGCTCTCCCTGATGGAAATCACAATCTGTGCAGATTCCAAATCCAGATTCTCTAAGAGGTAACTTCACCGAGAAATTCGACCTCAGCTCGATAACCTTCTTACTTAAATGATCTATACCTATAAACAGATTAAGTGTCTTGAGGTTGGGAATCAAACGCATGGAGCCATCAGATTTGGAGGCAAGAAAAGGTTGGATAGGCGCGGTCTTAGTTAGTTCAACTTTTTTACTGATAAAACCGCAGCTAAGCAATTGAGAGATTGTTGTTTCAAAGGTCGGTAGTTCATAGATGGACTAATGAGATTCAGCAGGGGCAGAGTGCTGAACAGGTCGCCATGTGAATGGCAATTGAATTCTCGAATCCAGCTCAGGACTTTAGCGCCACTCCCAAAGTTCCACCGTTGATGATAAATACGCATCAGCTTTCCTGCTGATCTACGTACCTCATTTGCAATTACCGGTGATGGCTAATATTGTTAGTACGATGTCCGGTGTTGCCCATATTTATCTGATTTCTATTTATAATTGACTTACTCCGAAGAGCAGCTTATCAATGCAAGCCCCTATTAGAGTACTCCTGAGTTTTCTATTTAAATGTGAATGTCTTCCAGCATATGCCGCCCCTCCCCTTCCTTGAAACTGAAGGAGAGAGTATTGCCACTTGCAGTTAATAAACAACTCACATGTTGCTGTACAGAGACCAGTAGAATAGAATAAAATTTACTCATCCATCGTCATGTCTCGAAATGTCAGCCCTGGAACAATGCGTGAACAGTACACTAAGGTCGCCGCATCATCGTGGTGGTTCGTCATCTATTGAAAGAGAATATATGGACTTTTTGACATCACAATCCAGAGCGCCCTGCTGTTCGAGTGTCACCTATGCAAAATGTAACGCTAATCCGGCATAAAGGTACCTAATATCTGTTAATACTGGAAATTAGTACTTTGGTAGCTTCCTAACCTGTCATGTTGATACGTAAAGTCCTCTTTCATAGCTATCATCAACCAGGTGGAATTTGCTGTAACAAGCAAAACGTAACGCTTGTTTTGCACAGATGTACTTAAGCTCTATCTGTTATTAATGAAAAAGGGTACTTCGGCGGTTTCCTAACCTGTCATGTGCATACTTACAATCCCGTTCCATGTTTATCACCGGCCAGGTTGAATTTGCTATCACAAGCAAATGGGAAGAGATTGTTTACCACTGGCTCGCTACGTTGTCCCAAATGCTTTCAGTGTTGTTATTTGTCATATGATCTTAGCCATCACGACGAACCCCTACTGAGCGGGCCCGTGGCAAATGCTTGTTCCGGAAGTTGTTGTATCCAGTATAAAACTTCTTCCTGTTCAAGTGATTGTACACGGGTTAAGGAATACCTCAGTACCAATTGCCGAGTGGCGGTACAAGTTCGCCAACGGGCCACTTTAGGTCTTTCAATATCACTAACACGTAAAAAGAAGGTGTAGACAACGTCCAGTCGACCGAGGCGGTACCACCCGCTAGCTTTTCCCAGGGTGTCTTATAAATGTCCGCATGTTTCCACACCTAAGCTATGCAGTCGGTTATCTTCCAAAACAAAGAAATTGATGATGATGGATCCCTCGAGCACTAAGAACTCCGGACGTAAACTGACTCCACTCTCGGAATGTCCGGGTGGAGGGTGGGCTCGAGGGAACAACATCGAAAATTTGTTTTTCGAACATCTGCGGAATTAACAGCAACATTGATGCTGTTCATCACTACCTGTAATCCAATCGTCCGCCGTGCTTTTCTTGACGCAGACAAAAATCTCAGAAGCTGCACCGATTAACCATCTCAACTTCCCAAACTACGAGGTGCACTCCAATCTGAGAAAGAGCGGGGGAGTTGTGGCTTTTGTCCGCAGTAGTTATTCCTGCTCCAGAGATGCTTCTTTGGAATCAGACCGGAAGGGACCTCCTAACTTGCGTCACGCAATTGTGGAGTAAACTCATCCAGTCTTATGGTGAGGCTCATAACGTTGCCCTTGACATCACGAAAGCCTTCGATCAGCTGTGGCACGCTGCCCTCTTAAGCAGACTTCCATCCTATGGCCTTCCAGAAAAGCTGTGCAGATGGGTGGCTGACTTTATCTCTGGCCGCAAGATATCCATCGCAATTGACGGGTTCTCCTCTTCATCCCACAACGTCAACGCGGGTGTTCCCCAGGGATCGGTCTTGGTTCCAACACTGTTTCTCTTACATATCAACGACCACCTTTCCTGCACTATCAAACCAATCCACAGCTTCGCTGATGACAGCACTCTACATGCAGGGATTCAGTGTGACAAGCCGACCTCTGCCGCTGAGCTGGAAAAAAGAAGACTAGCGACGACTTCCTCTCTGACAAA